AATAAGCTCTTCATGGTTTCAGTTACCAGGTCCAGCAGAGCATTATTCTTAGTTGGGGCCTCCATGAACTGTACCATAAAATTGTCTTGTAGTAGGTTTAAAACATTTTTGCCCTTTAACTGTTCTTGCAGTACCATTACTCCAGTGAATTTCCAGGTAGTTAAAATCCCCCATTATTATCACTGTCCCAGCCCTTGCAGCCCTTTTTGATCTGTGCAAGGAACTGAGTCTCCACCTTCTCATTAACACTGGGAGGCCTATAACAAACTCCAATGATTACCTTTGTAGTACGCACCCCCATGTGCAGTTCCACCCATAATACTTCAGCCTCATCACACTCTCCATCAGCTAGGTCCTCTTTCACACTCAATCTGAGATCACTTCTCACATACAGAGAGACACCACCACCTTTCCTATTTACCCTGTCTTTCCAAAAGAGAGAGAGCAGCACTTTCTGTTTTTCACAGTAGGAGACAATCATTTTGTTGCACTACCATTTGGCCTATCTTTGCTCCCAGAGTATTCACAAAGGTCCATGCACCTCTTCTTGCCATTCTAAAAACTCAGGGCATCCAGGTCACAGGTTATCTAGACAAGCTTGTTTTAAAGGACTCCTTTCAGCTATCTTCAAATGTCCACAGGACAATTCAGATGCTTCAGGCTTTCAGTTTGGGTGATCTGCTTCCAAAAATCCACTCTCTAACCTTCTCTTCACATGGAATACTTGGGACCAATCCTAGACACATCCCAAGCAAAGGTCTTTCTTGCAGAGAATAAACTGCTTTCTCTCAGAGCATATGCTCAGGACTTGAGGTCTAAGAGACGTCCTTCTATGAGATCAGTGTTCTGGGTCTCATTGTAACTTTTTTCGAGGCTATTCCATTCCCCCCATTTTTTTTTTAGACTTCTCTAACACACATATCTTGTTGGAGTGGAACAAGCAGGCGCCTTCTCTTGACCTACCCACACTCCTGCCCAGCCAAACAAGGAATTTCCTTGCTTGTTTGATCTCAAGCCTAGCCTTAACAATTAGGAAGTCCTTCCTTCATTTCACTGTAAAGTAATAACAACAGATGCCAGTCATTCAGGCTGGGGAGGTGTGTTCCAGGCCCTCACAGTTCTGGAAACATGGTCATTAGTGGAAGCCAAGCTTCTCACCAACATCCTGAAGCTCAGAGCAACAGATGCCAGTCATTCAGGCTGGGGAGGTGTGTTCCAGGCCCTCACAGTTCTGGAAACATGGTCATTAGTGGAAGCCAAGCTTCTCACCAACATCCTGAAGCTCAGAGCAACAGATGCCAGTCATTCAGGCTGGGGAGGTGTGTTCCAGGCCCTCACAGTTCTGGAAACATGGTCATTAGTGGAAGCCAAGCTTCTCACCAACATCCTGAAGCTCAGAGCAATAAAGATGGCTCTGCAACACTGGACCCCCTTTTGTTTACAAGGACACCCAATCAGGATGCAGTTAGACAGCACCATGGCTGTGGCCTACATCATCCACCAAGGGGGCACCAGAAGTCATGCAGTCTTGAAGACAGCAAGCCAGATTATCTCGGGTGGAGAAACACTGCCCAGTGATCACTGCTGTCCACATCCCAGGAGTGGAGAATTAGAAGGTGGATTATCTCAGCCATCTCTGCCTGGACTAAGAATAATGAACCCTTCACCCCAACATCAATCTCACATGTCAGAGATGGGGGACCCTGGATGTGGATATCCTGGCCTCAAGGTTTAACCTCTCTTTGCAGCCAGGACCAAGGATTCACTAGCATTGTATCCATTGTCTCAGTTTATGCTAATCTATACCTTCTCTCCAGTATGAATTCTACCTTGTGTTGTCTCAGGGTCCTCTATTCCACCCTTCTTTTCAGTCACTGGCTCTAACAGCATGGCTGTTGAAACCCAGGACTTAAGGGACATAGCGGTTTCTGAGTCCGTCATTTCTACTTTGCTAAAAGCAAGGCAAGCCACTTTCAGAAAGATCTGTGAGTACAGGCACTTCAAACCTAGAAAGTACTCTGTGCCTCGCATTCTGGCTTTCCTACAATTAGAACTTGACCTTAAGAACTCTTAAAGGATAGTTTTCAGCCTTGTCAATTCTTTTTCAAAAGCCTCTGGCATCAATGTCCCTAGTCAAAACATTTATTTGAGGTGTATTTCTGATCAGGCCTCCTTCACAGTACCCTGTGGTTCTTTGGGACCTCTGCCCAACAGGGATATCCCTTTTAGATGTTTTCTCCTGCAAAGTGGTCTTCTTAGTTTTTGCTGCATCTGCTGGTGTGATCGAGTCTTCAGTGGGCAAATGTGGTATACAAAAACAGTGGAAGATGTCAGCTAGAACTAACTGATTATGTTGATAAAAGGGATTTTGTATCATTCTTCTACGATTCTAGTTATTTCATTTCTGATCATCGCCATTTAGACATTTTAAGAGCAAAAGGGGAAGCAGTGGTACCTGTGCCTGACATGAGGTTGAGGATTTAAGTTATGGTCGCTGTTCTCAACCTCTGAGTTAATATCTAGTGCCTTTCGCTCATGTGTATTTATAGTAGTAATAAGCTTCTAATGCAAACATGCAATCAAGCAGTTGTTGGGTCTGCACCTGCATTCACATACTGGTAAGCTTTGAGATAATTTTTTATTCTAAAATGGGTTAATCAGCAGAAGATATCTGCCTGCTGTTGGATATTGTTATATGTACACTGCTCAAAAATACTGCTGGCAACACTGATGAGACAACACTGGTGAGCATTGATGATGAGGCTGCACTGAAATGTGGCACTGATGGGCACTAATAGGCAGAATTGAAGGGCACTGATAGGCGGCACTGCAGGGCACAGATTGGCAGCACTACTGGGGATTTTTGGGGCTGCACTGATAATCCGTGCCCTGATTATCCGTGTAGATGTCTCTTTTCACACTTGCTGGTCATCAGCAGTACTTTCTTCACGCTTTGACAGCCTGAGGAAAGTACTGCCCATAACTGGCAAGTGTTTTACATAGTGATTAGCTGTGATTGGACACAGCTGATCACGTGGTAAAAGGCCGCTGTGATTGGCCCCATGTGATCAGCGTTCTGGGAGGACATCATATGACGCCCTCCCAGAACTGGTTGACCGTGCTGTAGCCTTCATTCGGCTATAGCGTGGTTAAAGTGTCTCGTATGGGGATTTGTAGGTGCCGTAGTTTGCACTGTTCCACGGGTGGATGCAATTATAAAGCGTGTCGTGTTGATTATCTATTTACTCAGTATACAGTACAGTATACAGTATAAATACATCATATTTTATATTTTACCCAGAAAGTGGGTATTATATTGTGTTTTTGTGCATTAAAAGTTTTTAAAGTGTATTTTTTGCAAAAAATTGCATTTGAAAAACCACTGTGCAAATACCACATGACAAAAAAATGTGTATCGCCCATTTTATTCTCTAGGGACTCTGCTTAAAAAAATACACTGCTCAAAAAATTAAAGGAACACTTTGAAAACACATCAGATCTCAATGGGGAAAAATATGCTGGATATCTATACTGATATGGACTGGGTTAATGTGTTAGGAACGTAAGCATGCCCCATCTTTTGATGGAAATAAAAATTATCAACCTACAGAGGACTGAATTCAAAGACACTCCGAAAATCAAAGTGAAAAAATAATGCTGTAGGCTTGGGCATTGTGCTGAAATTTCATTGCAACAATTCAAAATGGTGCTCAATAGTTTGTATTGCCCCCAAATGCTTGTATGCATGTCTGACAACATCAGGGCATGCTCCTAATGAGACAACGGATGGTGTCCTGGAGTAGTTCCTCTCAGATCTGGACCAGGGCATCACTAAGCTCCTGGACAATCTGAGGTGCAGCCCGGCAGCGTCGGATGGAACGAAACATGATATCCCAGAGGTGTTCTATTGGATTTAGATCAGGCGAGCGTGGGGGCCATTCAATAGTATGAATTCCTTCATCCTCCAGGAACTGCCTGCATACTCTCGCCACATGAGGCCAGGCATTGTCGTGCACCAGGAGGAACCCAGGACCCACTACATCAGCGCAGGGTCTGACAATGGGTCCAAGGATTTCATCCCGATACCTAATGGCAGACAGAGTGCCATTGTCCCTCCATGGATATGCCTTTACAGACCATCACTGACCCACCACCAAAACGGTCATTATGAATGATGTTACAGGCTGCATAACTTTCTCCATGGTTTCTCTTTTTCCATCTGTCACGTGTGCTCAAGGTGAACCTGCTCTCACCTGTGAAAAGCACAGGGCGCAAGTGGCGGACCTTCCAATTCTGGTGTTCAATGGCAAATGCCAATCCTGCTCTATAGAGCCGGGCAGTGAGCACAGGGCCCACTAGAGGACGTCGAGCCCTCAGGTCACCTTCATGAAGTCTAGAGACCTTCACACCAGTGGCCTGCTGGAGGTCATTTTGTGGGGCTCTGGCAGTGCTCATCCTGTTCCTTCTTGCAGAAATTAGCAGATGCAGGTCCTGCTGATAGGTTAAGGACCTTCTACAGCCCTGTCCAACTCTTCTAGAGTAACTGCATGTCTCTTGGAATCTCCTCCATGCGTTTGAGACTGTGTTGGGAGACACAGCAAACCTAGCAATGGCATGTATTGATGTGCAATCCTGGGGGAGTTGGACTGCCTGTGCAACCTCTGTAGAGTCCAGGTATCGCCTCATGCTACCAGTAGTGACACGGACCCTAGCCAAATGCAAAACTAGTAAAAAGCAGTCAGAAAAGATGAGTAGCGAAAAAATGTCAGTGGCCTCCACCTGTAAAACCATTCCTGTTTTGGGGCTCGTCTCATTGTTGCCCATCTAGTGCACCTGTTGTTAATTTCATTAACACCAAAGCAACTGAAACTGATTAACAACCCCCTCTGCTACTTAACTGACCAGATCAATATCCCAGGAGCTTAACTTGATGCTATACTCTGATTAAAAAGTGTTTTTTTTTTTGTGTTAACACACTTGCATGCACTCTTTTGTTTCAGGTACAAGGAACTGACTGCTGCATCAGACCCTAACATTCTTCCACCACAATGTACCCCTAATATTGATGGCCCCAGTGCCAAATCTGTACCTAGAGAGCAGTCTCTGCACTCTTTCCATACCCTCTTCTGTCGCCGCTGTTTCAAATATGATTGTTTCCTGCACCGTAAGTTTGCTTATTTATTGCTACAGTTATTTGTGAGTTATCCTGTTCTGTTTTTTTGGGGGGGAGCTTTTTGTCTACTGCTAAGGGATCTTTTGTGGCCCAATCTGAAATAAGCATAGATGAATTCTGATTACATGGTATATGGCTAAACCACACACGTCCCCAGCATTTTCATTTAACATGGAGGGGGGCTGCAATCCAGACCGATGTGAAATTCGGTCAGATGAAAAGTGTTCCACAGTTGATGACATCAGAGGCTTAGCTAAAAAAAAAAAATAGCTCAGTCTGTCACAGCTGTCCACAGTCTGTTGGAGAGCTGTAAAGAGCTGCTGGAGCTGGGGATTAAGGCCTTTCCCTGTCTTACCAAACTGGGAAGCATTAATACACAGTTTAGAAGCTGTGCCCAAAAAAATAAAGGCAGAGGACAAAGGACTAGTCGCCAGTATTGCTGGTCCTCCTGCATCTGATTTTTTTCCTCATCACTGACTTACCGCGTCTTGTTCTGCACTGTCTCTGTGTGGAGGCAGCCATCTTGTTAGAGGCGAAAGCCCTCCCCCCTATTACTGGCAATCCCATGTTTGGCAGGATAAAATTCAGAACATTGCAGGAGAGGTACAAAAAATCACAGATCCACATAATGGATGTAGAAGAAGAAGAAGATGCATGCCTTGTAGGTCTTGAAATACAACTTTTTTTAAAGCAAGAATAACCGTGAGCAGCATAATAGTGACACCTTCAAATATTATTCTAATTCTCCTGAGAATAGCAGTCACAGAGAACAGTGCCTTACATTTCACACTGCAGATATAATGTACAGCTATGAGGCTGTAGGACTAGGAGTGTCTAGGCTCACTTACATACCAGAATTTTTTTAAGTTATTTTTCAGGAGGCATTCAAGTCAAAAAGGTAAATCATGCAGTGTACTGCTTTGGTACAGTTAACATGTCTAAATGTTTTAGGTAACATAGCAAATATTCACTTTTTGAGTTCAGGTCCACTTTATTTTTTACGTCAAAAGTCAACGTTGCTTAAAGCATATGTCATGGCTGAATAAAAAAAAAAAAAGTCTGATAACACAGCATTTTTGTTGACTGAATGATGTCAGCCCTGCTCAGTGTCTTTTGAGTAACTACTTAATCATTTTCTCTCTCAGATCGTAGTAACTTAAAAGCTGCAGTTAAAGATGAGAACTAGTAGGGCTCTTTGAGATGGCATAGGTAGTGTGCAGGGGACACAGGATGGGTCTGAATTGCTGACAAGATCAACAGGTGTTTAATACCATTGGAAATATTTTGTTAAAAAAATGTAAACAGACCAAAAGTGGGCAAATAAGAGATGTTCATTGCTGGGGTTTACATACACTTTAAACCAAGATAGCATTTATGTACTGTATTTTGATTAGTGCTATCGCTTTGACTGCTTTCAGGATTTTTGGTTTATCCCAATCCTTCTTCCTTACCTCTTGGCTTTCTCTAATGAGTCATAAGTCTTGACTTACCCAGTTATTTTATTAAAGGAAGCCTGAGCTGAGATAGATATAGAGGCTTCCATTGCTTTCCTCCTCCTTAAAGTCCTAGGTGCTTAATTTTGGCTTTAGTTCTTTTTTAGTTACTGACCTTGAACCAATTATGTAGCCAGTAATATGCAATACTGTCTATGGGGTCAGATGAAAGACTGTAAACTAGCATTTAGGTCAGCAGTGGCAGCCTGTTTATTATCTCTGGACAGGTTTCTATTAGCCCACAAGTTGGCTGTCTTGTTGGTCTGTATTTTACAGAAAATGCATTTTCTTTATCGTACATCACGGGACACAGAACAGGCTATTCATGACTATGTGGGTTAATGCTCAGCTATAAGTGAATGGACACTAGCCAACCAATCACAGAGAAGGTCCTCCCTTATATAACCCCTCCTATACAGGGAGTACCTCAGTTTGTAAGTCTGTAAGGTGGATGGTCACTGAAAGTGTTGCTGTGCTCTTGGAGCATACCTGAAAGTCCAGAACGGTTCCATTAGAGAATCGGGGACTTTCATTGGATCCATTTGGAAGGCTATGAGCTAAAATGGATGGTATCTGAGCCTCGCTGGATAAGAATCCTCGAAGTGTTGCTTGTAATGCAGCCTTACGGCGTTGCAGGTGGAACCCTGTGCAGTTTTAAATCTGACCAAGGCGCTTCCAGCGGGGTGCTATACGAGTCCAAGGTGGTAGCCCCTCAGCATTGGGACTGAATCCTTGAAGATCTGTATGACAATTTCCCTGTGATGGGTGAATGTTGGTACCTGATAGAAGGCAGGGACCTGCGGCGGGACTGGTAAGATATCTCCTTTTTTTCTCTCTGTAAAGAAAGAGAAAAAAAACAAAGCTCTAAATTATGGCTGGGACACAGAGCGGGCTATTCAGTAGGGGCACATGAGTACTCCCCTGAGGGGGAAGCGTGGACTAGTCAGTCAGGAGATGCCCTAGGTGGCTCATAAGGCAGCATTTGCATTGAGTGTTTTTTCACCACACTACTTGCATATCTGTATCATGGTGATCTGTGTTACTAGTGGAGGTGCACAGGTTTGCGCTATCTGAAGTGATGTCTTCCAGAAAGCAAAGTGGGGGAGGTGCAGCAAGAAAGAGCACTAATGTACTACTGCCAGGTCCTGAGGAACCTAGCTGAAGGTCTGCTGTAATATCCTCTCCTGAGAGACAAGAAGAGACTGGGCAGTCTGAGCCGCTGCATCTTATTGGCATTGGAGTGTGGGGGCATCTTAGGCAATCCGTCATCAGGCGTCGGTGGCTCAGGTTTACAAGGCCGCTATATGGTCTTTGGTTCACACATTCACAAGATTCTACCAGGTGGATGTCAGAGGTGCAGAGGATTTTGCCTTTGGCTTCAGTGTTTTACGGACGGCTGAGTAGGTCCTGAGGGATTATTGACGGTGGCTATCATGGTGCCACCCTTCCCTCAAATTTCATATTACTTTGAGACATCCCACATACTCATGAATAGCCTGCTCTGTGTCCTGTGATATATGATAAAGAAAATTAGATTTTTTCTACATACTTACCTGTAAAATCCATTTTTTGGAGTACATCACAGGACACAGAGGTCCCACCCCACTTTCTGGAATGTCAATGCTTGCTACAAAAACTGAGGTACTTATTGTATAGAAGGGATTATATAGGGGAGGACCTCCTCTCTGATTAGTTGGACAGTGTCCATTCACCTATAGGTGGCCTATAACCCATATAGTCATGTGGCCATAGCCTGCTCTGAGTCCTGTGATATACTCCAAGAAATGGAATTTACAGGTAAGTATGTAGAAAAAATCCAATTTTTGTCCTGATATTGAATCAAGTCTGTGTAGAGTCATATTGAGCTGTGAAAAAGTAAACAGTACAAAGGAAAAACTATTCTGGTTTAGGAGGGAACTGATTGGTTGCTAATGGCAAGTTCAAGTGTCTTTTTGAAATAGATTCAGGTAATTATGTTTTATTTTTTAGCATTTCATGCAACTCCTAATGTGTGCAGAAGACGAAGTCGAGAAATTAAGATTGAGACTGAACCATGTGGAAACCACTGTTTCTTGTGGCTGGTGGGTGCACTTTCAACTTACCGCAACACTCTAAAAAAATAAAATTTTAAGTGGAATTCTATCATTTTGACAGATATATTTTGTAAGGCAGATCAGTGAAATCAGACTTGTTCCCTTACTCCTATATAGATATTTCACCAGTACGCCAACAAACTTGTTTCATAGTGCTTTATTCTTGTATGATCACATAGAAAAGTAACATTTTGGGGCCGCCTAGGGTCCGTTCTTCAGATAGGTGATATCTTATTCATGTTGTACACCGTGACTAGTAGAGAGTTGTTGTAACACCATTTTAATCACAGTGTTGATTGCAAAATGGTGTGCAAAATGAATATATTCTGTGCTTACTTTTTTATGACCTTTTTAAATATAATTTAAAAAAATGCCAAATAACTTTCTAGATACAGGAACGACTGTAGTAGTTTGCCAAGTGTTTATTTGGACTTAGGATGATTTAATAAAACTGACACTAAGAAATGTGAAGAAAAAGCTCACAGCGAGGGATATACAGTACATGCACATTTAGCTTTAATATGTATCCTGTCTGTACCCTGCAAGTGTTTGGGGTTGGTGCAATTCACCCCCTTCACTTTTACATGACTAAAATAATTCCACACCCCAACCTACATTACCTTTACCACCCTATCATTTTATATTCTTTTTTTTCTTGTTGAGAAAGAATTTAGCGTGGTCCTTACTCACAATTCTGGATTCGTGCTTAGTATGGTGTCAAGCTAAAATTAGATTGAGGACTGATCTTTATCCTTGAGGTAAACAGTTTTTTCAGTTAATAGAGCTTCTCGCTGGTGTATTACATTTAACCTCCATGAGGTGGGGGAGATTTATGAAATTGTAACTCCTTTGCAGCATGAGCTTTAGTGGAGATCAGAAGCCAGTGTGGAGGATGGAAAATAATGTGGTAGCAACCACTCTAGATCTCTCTTGTTATTTATCAATAGTAGACAATAAATGTAAATTTGTTTAGCTTTCAACTTTCAATCTTTTAGGAGGGTGCCAAAGAGTATGCTGTAATGAACAACCCAAGATTGAAGTGCTTGGGGAGACGTCGAAGGAAAAATCCAACCAATGCTACTTCCAGCTCTGGTGCCTCCACTTCTGGCTCGGCAGAGGCCAAAGAAGGAGATAGTGATCGAGACACTGGAAATGAATGTGCTTCCAGCTCTTCCGGTGAGGAGAAAAGTGTGGAGACCAAGAGATTACACATGAGAAGAGATTATGGAGGAAGTTGTAGAGGATATTAATAGACAATGTAAGGCCTATCTGGTAAATGATGGGTGTAGATGATGCGGTATACTGTATGTTTTTGGTTCTTTGGAAAAGGAAATCATTTTTTTAAATAGAGACATCCTTTTGGCTTCTTGTTGCTCTCAAATAGTACATAAATAGCTGAACTACGTGTACAACTACGTTGTTAAACGTGTCAATAGCTAAATAAAACTGTAATAAGATAAATAACATCCCATTGGCATTGTTGTCCACAGACTTGGGACTGCCCTTGGTTCTCACTTCCAGGGATAGTGCACAAGACTTCCTGTGTGTCAGAATTATATGCAGAATAGTTATAAATGTCATTTCAGGGTCTGAATTGATTAATGATGGATATTTCATACAGTAATGCATAGTTGCTCATAAAAATACAGATCTCACTGCCCATCTGCTGTAAACTCTTGTTGGGAGTAGGGAGAGATTATGTGTTTTGAGTGGTTTTAATAGGGGGGGGTGACAATATTAAAAATCCTGCAAAAATGTAAGTGTCTAGGCAAAATGTAAAGAAAAAACACATTTGTTACATCTCAGGAATACAGGGACATTTTCTCGTGTACTGAAAAATACATGTTGATGTGCCAGAAATCCAGCTCTTAATTTCCTGTTTTTAACAGACAGCTCTGCCTCTGCTGCATTGAAATACCAAGCAGAATTGTCAGCCCTGAGTTCTCCCCTTATGGACAACAGAACACTTCCTTTTAAAATGTTGAGATGAGAAGAGGGGGAGGTATTTTGTAATAGCAGGGGAGTACTGAACAGAGCTAACAACAGTTATTGAAATTTCAGTGCAGCAGATGCACTGTCATCAGCCCAAGCAGGACGTTAGGTGCTTACTGGATATCTGACCAATCAACAAATATTTTTCTGTACATGTAGCATTATAAAGAGATGAAACATTGGGAAATGTTCATGCTTTACAGAGATATCGTATGGTATATTTTCTCTATCACCTATTGTGAGGCACAGCTTGAAGGTAATAAGCAAGGTAGGGTTATACACCTGCGCACAGATGATATGGACACTATGCACACAAAAAAACTGTGGTTTTATATGAAGGTTATAACTTAATTCATCTCTCACCTTGCCAGTTATGTTTAGTGTCCTCAGGACAACAGATGTGTTTTGCTTAAATTGGAAGAATTTCTATTAAAGCTGCTGGTAGATTCATGCTTGATATTATAGTTACATAGGTTGAAAAAACACTCGTCTATCTTGTTCAACCAAAGATAAAATAAATAAATAGAACCCCCCCATGTACAGAGTCTTATACTCACAGTTAATGCAGAGGAAGACAAAAAACATCTCTCTAAAGCATGGTCCAATTTGCTTCAATGGAGGGAAAAAGTTTCTGTATCATTACTTATGAATGTTAGTATCCAGTTATATTTTGTGCATTTAGGAATGCATCCAGCTATTTTTAAAGCAATGTACTGAACTTGCAAGAGATGGTTTCTGAGAGAGTCTATTCTCTGCGAATCTGTGAAGAAGACTTTCCATATGTGTAGGCTGAAGGAGAAGTGTAGCATTCTAAAAAAATAAACCTACATACCTCCCTGTTGCAGCATCAGTCTTTAGCCTGCTAATAGCTGATTCTGGGTCACAGGAGAGAACAAGTAAGTGCACTCCTGTGACCCATAAGAGAAGTATGACAAAAACACTTTGGGCATACTTCTCTTTTAAATCTCTTTTCCTCCAGATGTAAAGATTGGCCCCTTGTCCATTAAAGTGAGTTATGTCTGCTCCAAGTTCACTATATGAACCACTTATGTATTTACATGGTTATTATATTCTCTTCTCAAGAGAGAGTAAATTCAGATCCAAACTGCTCTGCATATTCCAATATGAGGTGGTCATACTAAAGCTTTTTATGGGGGAAAAATTATGTCTCTCGGAAGTCTATACCTCTTTTAATTTAAGTATTTTGCTTTCCTAAGAAACTTCAGCCTGGCATTGCTATCATTACCCAGATCTTTCTTGACCATTGACTCTCCCAATACATATATTCCTAGAAGTGTCCACAACCAGCCAATGAGCACTGGTAGATTGAGTCCAGATAAAGTAAATACTGGAAGTCTCTCCAGCTAGCCAACAAGCTAAAATGTGCCCAATTTGTATAATGGTGTTCTGTCTCCAACAGTATTGTTGTTGGCAGTGACATCCCAGATATGTTCCAGCAAGGACAGAACTTCAGGTTAGGCCAGTTTTTTTTCTTGGGATTCTATGCTGAGTGTTGATACCTGGGCTGCAGCAGCTTTTCTGACCTGGATCCTGAATTCTCCACTTATAAGTACAGTTGTGTTCAAAATAATAGCAGTGTGCTGAAAAAAGTGAATAAAGCTCAAAATCATTCTAATAGCTTTTATTTCCATACACACAAATGCATTGGGAACACTACACATTCTATTCCAAATCAAAACATGAAGAAAAATATATCAAATTTATGTTGTTCCTCTAAAAAAAATTGAAGAAAAGTGAATATTAGACTGTTCAAAAAAATAGCAGTGTTTGTATTCTTCTTTACAAACTCAAACATTCACTATATAAACTGAAAAATGTTTGAAGATTTTGCTTTCCTTTGAATCACTTAATTAATATTTAGTTGTATAACCGCTGTTTCCGAGAACTTTGTTGCATGGAGTCAACCAACTTTTGGCACCTGTGAACAGGTATTCCAACCCAGGATGATTGGACTACATTCCACAGTTCTTCTCTATTTCTTGGTTTTGCCTCAGAAACTGAATTTTTGATATCACCACACAAGTTTTCTATTGGATTAAGATCCGGGGATTGGGCTGGCCACTCCATAACTTCAGTCTTGTTGGTCTGGGACCAAGATGTTGCACGTTTACTGGTGTGTTTGGGGTCGTTGTCTTGTTGGAACACCCATTTCAAGGCAATTTCCTATTCAGCATAATGCAGCATGACCTCTTCAAGTATTCTGATGTATTCAAACTGATCCATGATTCCTGGTATGCGATAACTAGGCCCAACACCGTAGTATGAGAAACATCCCCATATCATGATGCTTGCGCAACCATGTTTCACTGTCTTCACAGTGTACTGTGGTTCAAATTCAGTGTTTGGGGGTCATCTGACAAACTGTCTCCGGCCACTAGACCCAAAAAGAACAATCTTACTTTCATCAGTCCACAAATTGTTGCGCGTTTCTTCCATGTCTTTCAGGTTTTGGTTGCCATTTTAAAGCATTTGCGATCATTTTAGCTGAGCAGCCTATCATTTTCTGCACTTCTTTATATGTTTTCCCCTCTCCAATCAACTTTTTAATAAAGGTCCACTGTTCTTCTGAACAATGTCTGGAATGACCCATTTTCCTCAGAATTTCAGAGCGAAATGCACTGTAACCAGCATGTACAACATTTGCTGCCTTCCTTCCTTAAATAAGGGCAATAATTGCCACCTGTTTTTCAAAGAATGAATGACCTCACTAATAGAACTCCACACTGCTAATATTTTGAACATGCCCCTTTCAATTAGTGATTCAATTACACAGAATCAGCAGCATGCATGTCATGACTGTTGGGTCTTTTGGATTTCTATTACTCTACTACACCTGCTAGTAAATTATTTGCCATGTAGAAATATAATTTCTACCAAAAACAGTGATTGATCAGGTTAGTGATGTCTGACTGCTACTATTTTGAACACAACTGTATGTGCTGTTAACTGTGGTTGTGGCTTAGATTGAACCTGTGGCTGTCTCATGTTAACTCTGCTGTAGAGAAAGAGCACTTTCATATTGTCTATTTAGCCTGAGCACTGTTTCTAGACTACTGGAGGACTGGACAACCCTCCTCTATATTTTTACAATGGGATGTGCATTGTGTATTACTGGACAGCTGGGCATTGTTGTCTGATTTGCTGTTTTTGTAATTCCCACCAGGTTTTAAGTGCAGAATCAGTGGCTGGAACTTCAAAAATGGTGCAGTAGTTAATTCTGCACATGTGTATTATGGCCACTTCCTTCCTTGCTCTGCAAGTGTTTGGGGTAACAATTGTGTGGTGGCTGTATAACAGACATGGATGGCTGCTCTCCTCACAGTTCTCATCTGGGACAAACCATGTCAGCTATAAAATACTGCTTGTAACACAGATAGAAATTTGGCATTATCTCTACTTTGTTTTCCTGCCGCTGTCGACTATTTGCTTTCTTTTTTCTTGGGTGTTCATTCCTCTCCTTATCTTACTAAGGATTATTTTTCTTTTCAGCTCCTCCTGCAGGCATGGCTCAAAAACACCTGCCATCTCATTCCCCGGTAGAATTTGATGCAGATATGCCTCGTGTTTCTAAGACTGCTGGAGATCCTCAGGACTCATTATCACTTTATCACACATCACGGGGACACAGAGCAGGCTATAATCATGACTATGTGGGTTATATGCCACTTATAGGTGAATGGACACTGGCTGACCAAATTAGAGAGGAAGTCCTCCCCTATATAACCCCTCCCACACTGAAAGTACTTCAGTTTTTTCGCCAGTATCTGTAAGAGGTCATTGATGTGTTGCATGTGCTCTTGGAGCATACCTGGAGGTCCAGAACGGTTCTATTGAGAATCAGGGACTTTGATCAGATCCATTTTAAAAGCTGTTAGCCAAAATGGTTGGTACCCGATCCTCTCTGAATAAGGAGAGGAATCCTCTGGGTTTTGCCTGTAATGCAGCCTTACAGTGCTGGACCCTGCAGATTGGAACCCTGTGCAGTAGATGACTGATCAAAGCATTTTCTGGCAGGGGGCTATACAGGTCCAAGGGAGTGGACCCCAGTAAACAAAGGTAACCAAGTCCTTGAAGGTCGGCATGACAAAGCCCGCCATGATGGGTGAAGGTTGGTCCCTGGCTGAACTCAGGGGACTACAGTGGGATTGGTAAATTTACCTGAA